CCACAAACCATCAAGCATATACCGTTTTTTGGAATACTAAAACCAAAAAAGCCATACCCAAAATCATAACAAAAACAATTCCAATTTAATCCAAATGGCAACAAGACGAATCTCATAAACTAGATACCAAAACACTTTAATATATCAACTCGATATAGAAAACAAATCAAAGGCCTCTCAAACATCACCTAAAACATTAAACATAGCACCACGCAAACTAAAAATAGTTCACCTATTCACACTTCACAAACCAACTTTCATAACAATAGAGATACCATCTCTATAATTACATCGCTAACACTGCATATCATTAACTGATTCCAAATCACTGATCCCTCTCATCCCACTCAATACTCAACATCTCAGAGAACAATACGCATACCTGCAACAACTACAATCATTCATATTATAGCAACACTTGCTAAATATGACCAGAAAAAGAAATAACAAACTACATAGGTCCTATATCAAACATAGGAACACAAGCATAATACATAAAAAACAAGCAGCCAAAACCAAACTGGTGGTAAACATATCAGACCAACAACTATCTAAACCAGAACTTTCAGTCCTCTCTAAAGGACTAAAGTTCATACCCACACCCGACCCCAAAAATATACAACATTACCTGACCACTGACATCTCAGATTTTACTAGAAAATTGAGATTAAAATTGATGTTTCATAACAGCAAACGCTCAAAACACCCATTCCAAAACAAAAGCACTTTCATACCTCCCGTCTCTACTTCACCCAAACTAGAGAAATATATCAACAATATAGAGAAGGATATTAAACGAATCAATATACCTATCCACCAAAACAACCTATCCAAACCAGAACAAACAGCTTTAAAACAATTAAAAAACAACCAAAAAATCATCATCAAAAGAGCTGATAAAGGTGGAGCTGTCACCGTTCAGAACAAATCAGACTACCAAACAGAAGCAATTAGACAACTCTCCGACTCTAACACTTACAACAAAGTCGAATCACCACACATACAAGAAATATGCCAAGCAATTAAAAAAATTGCTTTAGAAATGTATAGAGAACACGACATTGATGAAACAACGTTGAATTTCCTCACACCCACAGGGAAAGAACGCGCACCTAGATTCTATCATTTACCAAAAATACACAAAAACAAGTCGCCCCCACCAGGAAGACCAATCCTATCTGGTAACAACGGGCCAACAGAAAAAATAGCAATGTACTTGGACTATTTCCTCCAACCACTCACCAAAATGATACCTTCATTTGTCAGAGATAGCACTGATCTCATCAACAAATTGCAATCACTACCCGCCCTCAAACCAGACTGCATTCTAGTAACAATGGACGTGAGCAGCCTTTACACCAACATCAACCATAGTGACGCTATTGCAGCAACGCTAAAACACATCAACTTGAACAAAACCAATCTCCAACTAGACATCAACATACCCTCTAACAGAAGAATTACACAATTACTCAACATTATTCTCAAACAGAACATATTCGAATTCAACAATGAATACTACCACCAGAAATTCGGATGCGCCATGGGCTCTAAAATCAGTCCCTCGCTGGCCATTCTAGCTATGGCTGAAATTGAGAACAAAATCTTAGAAACAGCACCCAACAACAAAAAACCCACGATTTACCTCAGATATATCGACGACATATTCATAATCTGGGAACACAACACCCAGGAACTCAACACATTCATTCAACATTGCAACCAAACACATGACACAATTAAATTTGAAGTAGAAACATCTACAACGGAAATACCATTCCTTGACGCTCTGATATACAAACCTAAGGAGTTCAACACCACCAAAACACTACACACCAAACTATACTCCAAACCAACCGATGCTCACATATTCATACCTGCAAACTCATTTCACCCTAAACATTGCCTAGACAACCTAGCCAAAGGGGAATGCATTAGATACAAAAAACTCTGCACTACAACACTAGACTACGATTCAAACTCGGAAAACCTCAAAAAATACCTAAAAACACGTGGACATAACCCGAGGAACTTCAACAAACACATAGCTAACACCAGAAAACTAAATAGAACGCTACTACTGAACCAACCAGCCCGTACCCGCCGCACTAAAACATATGAAAACAACACACTACCATTCATTACCACACACTCGGGTATCAACCACCAGATCAAAACTATTCTGCAAAAACACTGGCACATTATAAAAAGCGACCCTACACTAACCCAGATATACCCCAATAGCCCTACTATTGCTCTGAGAAGAAACCAAAATCTCAGCGATGCTCTAGTCAGAGCCAAATTCTCTAACACATAGAACAACCCTATTATATATAATTTACAACTACCCGACCTCTAATAACCAAACCACCACACCCAGAAAACCCAAAACACACGAACAACTAACAAATTCAATATTTACATACCAAAAAAACATGATATACAACACAACAAGCACACCAATTAAAGACCGCAACTCTCCCAAACCAACTAAATTCCCGGGGAAATCACTGTGTTTCTTGACCCGTAGAAATACAACCATAACTCAACCAATATTGCACCAAACTTCAAAAACTAAACACCATAAGGTAGCTACAACCCTATTCTAAACAACCACTACAAATAAAAGGCAATACACAGCTACTAAATAACAACAATAACACGAAAACCACGAAAAACTTTGAAAAAATCGGCACCATATTACGATTCATCAACCACAAAACCACAATCGAACATTCTAAACACAAAACTTTAACACGACCTTATAGAACAAACTTAGACAAACAAAAACACACCAACCACACTAAAATCAAGGCACTACATCCAGAGCTATACCCGCTTAAAGTCACACAACAAACACACTTACATTTAATCTTATCGACTTTTCACTAAGAAGAGCAATAAACCGGAAGTTTGTTCTCTGACGTCCGCACCTTCCATATAAATATAACACACGAGGACGATAGATCATATTACAGTACAACACTGACAACATAACAACAACAACAACCTAAACCTCAACATGAGCATTGCCAAAGACCTATCAATAGGCCAGATGATTGCCAACGCCAATGATACCCAGGCGTCTATCTGCAGCGGGAGATTCAACTCTCATAACTCTATGGAGATGAATGACAACAGGGACACCATTCCCGACTCAGAAGTACCAGCTAACAGCGCTGCCTTCAACAAGCAAGCCTTTAAACAAGCTACAACCAGCAGCCCTAAAGACAAACACCATATCAAGTCGGCCTCTACCTTCACAAAAAACAACCCTTTATACACAATACCACGCAAACCCAAACCCACTCTCAACATCATAGACGCGATGGGTCTAGGCCTACCTACAAACATCGGGAACAACCCCAACGCCACACGCCAAGCAGACCCAGCTCTACTCACCCGTTTGAGAACATCAATACACTGGGAAGCCAGACACGATGGCGTCCTTAAAAGCCTTAACAACTGCCCGGGAGGCATCCCAAGAGGCCTCATACCAAATATCAAATGCGGCGCCCCTGAGAAGGAAACCTCTGATATTGAAAAGGCGTTTGATGTTATTTTACACCATTGCAGCGACCAGCTGACAGAAGCCACCACACTCCACAGCCAAAACAGACTAGACTTTCACAGACAACAAACCAGTGATACCATCCAAACGCTAGCCAAAACCATCGGCCTTGTAGAAGCAGACAAACTGGCAGAGCAGTACAGGCGTGAGGCCTTCAAACCAAAAAGACGGGAACCAAACACAAAACCCCGTGGGAAAAGACAGTAGAACAAAACTACTTTAAAAAATACAACCCCGGCCCTTCTCAGGGCCACCATTCTCTACCAAAAGAGCAATTAAACATTTATGAATTAAAAAGTATGAATGTGTATAGCATATGAAATGTATGAACGTGTATGGAAACCGCCAAACATGTTAACCCGAAACTATATTAACCCCCCTAAAACTAATAAAGCAAACCCTTGTATTACTAACTTTAAAACTAAACAACACTTCTACTACTAGTGCCAACCAAAACACACCAAACGTTTACAATTTAAACCTGCAAACCACTGCCCGTACTTCGGAACACACACCCGTGTATACACTAACATTCCCCCTTCCCCCTCCCCATTCCCCAAGCCGCTGATGAAGAACACATCATGGACTACCACCCATGAGTTCGAAACATCTTGTGCTCTTATCATGACACACATATAAGAGAGATGGTCCACCACAGGACCGGGATGTCCGGCCGCCCTCACAAAAATAACAAAAAACAAAACAATATTTCTTGGGTAAGATACGAACAATATCTTACGCCATTTTTACTGACATATACTATTCTTGTCACATATTAGACATGCGATAGTTTAGGGAAACTTAGGCGACTAGATTATGTCTCCCAGGTCCCCACACAGAGACCTCTCACCGCTTGTTCACAGACTGCATGAACAATGCGTGCACATAACTGGTGATGTCTCAAGACATTTTCTAAGTCATCTCCCCAAGAATCAGTGCTTTTACGGCTGTCTCCATTAGCCATAAGGATAAAACCAAACTAAGTGAATAACTAGCGTACCTAGTCTCCGGACATGGGTCCTATCGAGAATTGTCAGATGGACACTCACCAAGTATATGTCAACAACAAAACAACCATTTTTTGTGAAGAACTGGCTGAACCATCTCACCTTACCAGGTGTTTCGAACATTTTTCTTCAATCAGCGCACCGTTCCCCCCCCCCCCCTTCCCCCTCCCCACAAGCCACCACATACACGGCTACCAACAAAGTACCACCAACACAATACACATATCCACACCAAGCTAGGATAACATACTAAACAACCAAACAACCAAACTTTAACCCAATCACCACACTTTCACGAAGCGACCAACCTCGCAATACGCGCTAAGCGATACCTCATAACAAACACACTACCTACACAATCAAGTTAATATCTCCAAAACTACAAATGCTACCACCACAATATACATATCAATATCAAGCCAGAATACAATACTAAACAACCAAACAACCAAACAACAATTCACTCACCACACTTTTGCTACCAATGCAGCCAAACATATACGAAATCCACGAATGCCAATACCGCATCTTACAAATTACAAACGGAAAACACCACCCCCACCCAAAAGCCACAACTCAGCCTAAAAATATGGTAAAAATACAAGACACCCCTCACCAGAAAGCTAACACAATTCCCTATCTAACAAAATCAACATTAAATAACATAATAACCAAAAGAATACTCCGAAAAACCAATACGCATAGACCCGTACATAAAATTAAAACTATAAAACAAAATATTACTCAAATAAGACGACAAAACATTAACCTTACAAACAAGTTAAAATTTCACACCATACCATGTGTACGATCACGAAATACACACAGTTGAACACCCAAAACAACACCCAAAACAACAAACAAGATAATAAAACCATCTACATACAAACCAAAGACTCTTATATCACCTCACTAACCATTACGTGTATTAGAAATTATCAATCCCAAAATGCGCACAAACAGATATCTCAGAGCGGAAAAACCGCCCTCACAATCAAGTTAAAATCTCTTAAACTATAATTGCCACCACCAAAATAAACACATCCTCAACATACCAAGATATCATACTAAACAACCAAAAAACCAAATAACAGCTTATTCATCATACCTTTCCTACCCACACAGCAACACACATACGAAATCGGTGAACAAAAATACCGCATCTTAAAAATCAGGAACGGAAAACACCACACCCACCAAAAAAGCCATATCTCAGCCAAAAAACACGGTATTGACACAATACACCACACACTGGAAAGCTGCCATAACATACTAACCAACCAAACCAAAATGGAATAAACAACTAACCATACCAATCCTCCATAAATCAACACGCATATACCCTCACGGGAAATCAAAACTAAAAAACATAATATTGCGAACGAAAATACCCCCCCACAATCAAGTTAATATCTCTACAACTATCAATGCTACCATCATTATACACATATCTACATCAAACCAGGATACCATACTAAACAACCAAACAACCAAACAACAACTAACTAACCATACTTTTGCTACCAACACAACCATACATATACGAAATACGCGAACGCCAATACCGCATCCCATGAATTATGAACGGAAAACACCGCTCTCAACATAATAACCAAATATCAACTAAAAACATGGTTACAAAACAAGACACCCTCTACCAGAAAGCTACCACAGCATACTAGAGAACCAAACCATACCCATACCAATTATTAACCACATATTTACCCACAAACCATCAAGCATATACCGTTTTTTGGAATACTAAAACCAAAAAAGCCATACCCAAAATCATAACAAAAACAATTCCAATTTAATCCAAATGGCAACAAGACGAATCTCATAAACTAGATACCAAAACACTTTAATATATCAACTCGATATAGAAAACAAATCAAAGGCCTCTCAAACATCACCTAAAACATTAAACATAGCACCACGCAAACTAAAAATAGTTCACCTATTCACACTTCACAAACCAACTTTCATAACAATAGAGATACCATCTCTATAATTACATCGCTAACACTGCATATCATTAACTGATTCCAAATCACTGATCCCTCTCATCCCACTCAATACTCAACATCTCAGAGAACAATACGCATACCTGCAACAACTACAATCATTCATATTATAGCAACACTTGCTAAATATGACCAGAAAAAGAAATAACAAACTACATAGGTCCTATATCAAACATAGGAACACAAGCATAATACATAAAAAACAAGCAGCCAAAACCAAACTGGTGGTAAACATATCAGACCAACAACTATCTAAACCAGAACTTTCAGTCCTCTCTAAAGGACTAAAGTTCATACCCACACCCGACCCCAAAAATATACAACATTACCTGACCACTGACATCTCAGATTTTACTAGAAAATTGAGATTAAAATTGATGTTTCATAACAGCAAACGCTCAAAACACCCATTCCAAAACAAAAGCACTTTCATACCTCCCGTCTCTACTTCACCCAAACTAGAGAAATATATCAACAATATAGAGAAGGATATTAAACGAATCAATATACCTATCCACCAAAACAACCTATCCAAACCAGAACAAACAGCTTTAAAACAATTAAAAAACAACCAAAAAATCATCATCAAAAGAGCTGATAAAGGTGGAGCTGTCACCGTTCAGAACAAATCAGACTACCAAACAGAAGCAATTAGACAACTCTCCGACTCTAACACTTACAACAAAGTCGAATCACCACACATACAAGAAATATGCCAAGCAATTAAAAAAATTGCTTTAGAAATGTATAGAGAACACGACATTGATGAAACAACGTTGAATTTCCTCACACCCACAGGGAAAGAACGCGCACCTAGATTCTATCATTTACCAAAAATACACAAAAACAAGTCGCCCCCACCAGGAAGACCAATCCTATCTGGTAACAACGGGCCAACAGAAAAAATAGCAATGTACTTGGACTATTTCCTCCAACCACTCACCAAAATGATACCTTCATTTGTCAGAGATAGCACTGATCTCATCAACAAATTGCAATCACTACCCGCCCTCAAACCAGACTGCATTCTAGTAACAATGGACGTGAGCAGCCTTTACACCAACATCAACCATAGTGACGCTATTGCAGCAACGCTAAAACACATCAACTTGAACAAAACCAATCTCCAACTAGACATCAACATACCCTCTAACAGAAGAATTACACAATTACTCAACATTATTCTCAAACAGAACATATTCGAATTCAACAATGAATACTACCACCAGAAATTCGGATGCGCCATGGGCTCTAAAATCAGTCCCTCGCTGGCCATTCTAGCTATGGCTGAAATTGAGAACAAAATCTTAGAAACAGCACCCAACAACAAAAAACCCACGATTTACCTCAGATATATCGACGACATATTCATAATCTGGGAACACAACACCCAGGAACTCAACACATTCATTCAACATTGCAACCAAACACATGACACAATTAAATTTGAAGTAGAAACATCTACAACGGAAATACCATTCCTTGACGCTCTGATATACAAACCTAAGGAGTTCAACACCACCAAAACACTACACACCAAACTATACTCCAAACCAACCGATGCTCACATATTCATACCTGCAAACTCATTTCACCCTAAACATTGCCTAGACAACCTAGCCAAAGGGGAATGCATTAGATACAAAAAACTCTGCACTACAACACTAGACTACGATTCAAACTCGGAAAACCTCAAAAAATACCTAAAAACACGTGGACATAACCCGAGGAACTTCAACAAACACATAGCTAACACCAGAAAACTAAATAGAACGCTACTACTGAACCAACCAGCCCGTACCCGCCGCACTAAAACATATGAAAACAACACACTACCATTCATTACCACACACTCGGGTATCAACCACCAGATCAAAACTATTCTGCAAAAACACTGGCACATTATAAAAAGCGACCCTACACTAACCCAGATATACCCCAATAGCCCTACTATTGCTCTGAGAAGAAACCAAAATCTCAGCGATGCTCTAGTCAGAGCCAAATTCTCTAACACATAGAACAACCCTATTATATATAATTTACAACTACCCGACCTCTAATAACCAAACCACCACACCCAGAAAACCCAAAACACACGAACAACTAACAAATTCAATATTTACATACCAAAAAAACATGATATACAACACAACAAGCACACCAATTAAAGACCGCAACTCTCCCAAACCAACTAAATTCCCGGGGAAATCACTGTGTTTCTTGACCCGTAGAAATACAACCATAACTCAACCAATATTGCACCAAACTTCAAAAACTAAACACCATAAGGTAGCTACAACCCTATTCTAAACAACCACTACAAATAAAAGGCAATACACAGCTACTAAATAACAACAATAACACGAAAACCACGAAAAACTTTGAAAAAATCGGCACCATATTACGATTCATCAACCACAAAACCACAATCGAACATTCTAAACACAAAACTTTAACACGACCTTATAGAACAAACTTAGACAAACAAAAACACACCAACCACACTAAAATCAAGGCACTACATCCAGAGCTATACCCGCTTAAAGTCACACAACAAACACACTTACATTTAATCTTATCGACTTTTCACTAAGAAGAGCAATAAACCGGAAGTTTGTTCTCTGACGTCCGCACCTTCCATATAAATATAACACACGAGGACGATAGATCATATTACAGTACAACACTGACAACATAACAACAACAACAACCTAAACCTCAACATGAGCATTGCCAAAGACCTATCAATAGGCCAGATGATTGCCAACGCCAATGATACCCAGGCGTCTATCTGCAGCGGGAGATTCAACTCTCATAACTCTATGGAGATGAATGACAACAGGGACACCATTCCCGACTCAGAAGTACCAGCTAACAGCGCTGCCTTCAACAAGCAAGCCTTTAAACAAGCTACAACCAGCAGCCCTAAAGACAAACACCATATCAAGTCGGCCTCTACCTTCACAAAAAACAACCCTTTATACACAATACCACGCAAACCCAAACCCACTCTCAACATCATAGACGCGATGGGTCTAGGCCTACCTACAAACATCGGGAACAACCCCAACGCCACACGCCAAGCAGACCCAGCTCTACTCACCCGTTTGAGAACATCAATACACTGGGAAGCCAGACACGATGGCGTCCTTAAAAGCCTTAACAACTGCCCGGGAGGCATCCCAAGAGGCCTCATACCAAATATCAAATGCGGCGCCCCTGAGAAGGAAACCTCTGATATTGAAAAGGCGTTTGATGTTATTTTACACCATTGCAGCGACCAGCTGACAGAAGCCACCACACTCCACAGCCAAAACAGACTAGACTTTCACAGACAACAAACCAGTGATACCATCCAAACGCTAGCCAAAACCATCGGCCTTGTAGAAGCAGACAAACTGGCAGAGCAGTACAGGCGTGAGGCCTTCAAACCAAAAAGACGGGAACCAAACACAAAACCCCGTGGGAAAAGACAGTAGAACAAAACTACTTTAAAAAATACAACCCCGGCCCTTCTCAGGGCCACCATTCTCTACCAAAAGAGCAATTAAACATTTATGAATTAAAAAGTATGAATGTGTATAGCATATGAAATGTATGAACGTGTATGGAAACCGCCAAACATGTTAACCCGAAACTATATTAACCCCCCTAAAACTAATAAAGCAAACCCTTGTATTACTAACTTTAAAACTAAACAACACTTCTACTACTAGTGCCAACCAAAACACACCAAACGTTTACAATTTAAACCTGCAAACCACTGCCCGTACTTCGGAACACACACCCATGTATACACTAACATTCCCCCTTCCCCCTCCCCATTCCCCAAGCCGCTGATGAAGAACACATCATGGACTACCACCCATGAGTTCGAAACATCTTGTGCTCTTATCATGACACACATATAAGAGAGATGGTCCACCACAGGACCGGGATGTCCGGCCGCCCTCACAAAAATAACAAAAAACAAAACAATATTTCTTGGGTAAGATACGAACAATATCTTACGCCATTTTTACTGACATATACTATTCTTGTCACATATTAGACATGCGATAGTTTAGGG